ACGCGAGGCGGAGCCGATCGAACGGCTGAGAATCGGCGAGAATCTCCGCCAAAGCCGTCATCGCTCGGACTTGCATCTCCAGAGCCGCGATATAATCTGCCGTCTCGTTCAGAAGCTCCGGCAACTCTGTTCTCCGGCAACCCGGAACCAGTCGGGCCAAAACCCGGAACCCGTTCTCCTCCTCCGCCCGATTCCTCCTCCCAACGCACCGCCTCTCCACCCCACGCGCCGCCGCACGAGCCGTCACCTTCGCCCTCCATCTCGGTCCGAGTCGACCCACTAGCATCGCCCTGCTCCACCGAGTCGTACCCCGAGCCGCCGCCGCCAGCACCCTGTCCGCCGTATCCCGCACTCCTCCGATACCGGCGGCGGTCCTCCGGCGACTACGGTGGAGGGCGGCGTAGAGCTTCAGAGAGTAAACCCTCTGTGCTCTTTGGCTTCTCCATCTCTGACCAAAACGGCGCGTTCCGTCCTCTGCCGCCGCCGCCGTTACCCCAACCTTTCTTTTCCCGGCGGAGGATCTTCGCCTGCGCCGGAGCAAAATCCCGAAACGATGCGTTTTGTTTGCCTTCTCACCGGCCGGTGTGGGCAGATTTGTCACTTTTCCGGCGGGTTCCGGCGACTTGGGACGATTCTGTCCGATGCCCTGATCAGAAGACATGACAAAACGTATAAAAAGCAGAGATTTTCCAATCTTCTTGATTTTGTCCCGCGGAAGTTCAAATTTTCTTGAACCTTGCGAAGAACAAAAATGGAGCCTTTTATTTATTTTTGTGGTGTAAATATTGTGATAATAATCGAAGGAATATGAATGGAGGGATCTCTATATATAACGTTTGAGAGAGATGTGAGTGCGAGGCCATTCTTACTATTACTTTGTTTTATTTTATTTTTTATTTGGTTGGTGATCAGAAATCTAGTTCTTTGAAGACGTGAAAAACATGCAGATACGTACGGTCTTAATATTTTATGTTGGCAAAACATAAATGCCGTCCATGTCATAAAAACCATACAAAAATGGATAACTAGGGGTGTCAAAACGAGCCCGACTCGCGAGCTGGCTCGTGGCTCGCCAGAAAACGAGCGATCTGAGCCGTAATTTTTTCAGGTCGTTAAAAAACGAGCCTAACGAGCCAGAGCTCATTGAACACGTGTTCAATGAGCCTGGCTCGGCGAGCTGGCGAGCTGCTCAACGAGCTGGTATTTTTTTTAAAAAAAATTAAATTTATATAAAAAAACTCTAATATAATTTTATATTAATTTTTTTCATATTATTTATATGATATTATATATATACTAATTATTATGATGGTGATAATTGAAAATATTAAATGATATTGATGTTTTAATAAATTTTTATGTATTTATTTAAATTTATAATTATATTTAAAATAAATATAAATAAAAAATATTATATATCCTTGGCTCAACGAGCCGGCTCGTTCAGATCGGAAAATT